TCAGACAGTTGTGAACTATCCTATGTGGATTCTGAAGACCAGAGTTTGGTCCTCTGCAAGAGTAATACATGCTCTTAAATGTTGATCAATCTTGGGATGGGTGGGGTGGGTGCATGCACAGCTTTATCTTAGCACTCAGGAAGCAGAGGTAGGCAGGTCTCTGTGAGTTTGAGTCCAGCTTGGTCTACAGAGCTAATTCCAGGGCTGCCAGGGCTGTTATACACAGAAAAGCTGTCTCGAAACCCCCCCCCCCCCCGCCAAAATGCTGATCAATCTAATAAGTCATTTCTTAGAATTTCTTTCTGTGGTTCTGGGAATCAAACTGAGGGCTTTGTGCATAAAATTCCTTAGAAAAAAATTGAAGGTGGAATTATTCCAAATGATCATGTGACAAAACTACATAAGGATGGAACTGCACTTGATTTTAAGCCTATATTGCTATAAATGGTGTTCTGTCCACACTATCCCAGCTGCAATAGACTAATGATTTAGGAAACATACTAGCTTTTTTGTTTGTTTGTTTTTCGAGACAGGGTTTCTCTGTGTAGCTTTGGAGCCTGTCCTGGAACTAGCTCTTATAGATCAGGCTGGCCTCAAACTCATAGAGATCTGCCTTCCTTTGCCTCCCAAGTGCTGGGACTAAAGGTATGCGCCACCACCTCCTGGCCAAACTTTTATTAAGAGCATTGATATGGTGTTTCTTAGACATGAGGGAAATTAGATTATTTTCTAACTAGCCTCTCTGTGTATCCTAGGTTAGTGTCCTCCTGCCTCTGTCTCTTATCTTCCGAGTACTGAGATTATAGTTGTGTACCACCTTGCCTGGAGTGTTTAATTATGAAAAAGTTTACACATATAAGCAACACTGAAATTATTTCTCTAACATCTTTTATTCATTTCGAAGTAAAGTACACCTGTGTCTGGTGGCATATTCCTGTAAACTTTGGAAAGTGGAGACTGGAGGCTACTTTAAGTGAAATCCTGTCTCAAGAAACCAAAATCAATCAAAAAAAAAAAAAAAAAAAAAACCAACAACAAAACACTCCAAACCAGAAAAGATGGGAGGGATTCATTTTGTGTCCTTTGTTAAATGGTGGCAAATCCTCTTTCCATGTGTGCCACATTGGCATTCATTTTGTTGCCACAGATTCATATCACTTGCACTTAGTGGAGCTAGTAAAGCTTTTTCTGGCTATCAGAGACAGGACACTCCCTGACACTTTTGGAGCATTCTGTTCCTCATGTAATCATTCGGTTATTGTCTTTATCCTGGATATGTGTATCAGTTCATGTGGGTGGCTATGACAAAATTTCATAGAGTAACTCCTAACCAACAGAAATGTATTCTGCATGGTTCTGGAGGTCAAGAAACCAGCATTGAGGCAGACATAGTATCTAGTGTAGGCCTTCTTTCTTTAGAGACTACTGTTTTTTTTTTTTGTTGTTGTTGTTGTTGTTGTTTTTGTTTCTTTCTCCCTGTATTCTCATGTGGTGGAGAGGAAAAGGACATTTTACACATTCTGTTAATAAAGAATCTTGTCTTATAGGTCTAATCATATTCCAAATCCCCCATGTCTTAGTACCATCAATTGGAGGTTAGTATTTTAACACAACATGGGTTTATGTCTAAGTAAAGTGCAAAGTAAAACCAGGAGGTAAATGGCAACAACACAAGAACACTGGGAATGATTACCAAAGCAGTGTCTTCTTAAGAAAACCAAGCTAGGTATCTTACCAGTAAGCAAAGCACACAGGAGACCAAGACAGAAAAAGTGCTAGTTCAAGGACTATGGGGTCACCATAGCTGAAAGGGAACCAATTTCCAAATCCTCAAATTCCTTTGTTGTAATTTTAAAAAGCAGCCCAAAGAAGGACACCATTTGACAGAGCTTGGGTGGAGGGGGTTTTTATTGAGGGAAAGTGAATGAGCAAACAGAGGGAGGGGAGAGGGGATACTGGCTTCTGGGGACAGGAGCAGCAGAATGGAAGAGAGAGGCAGAGAGTGAGATAAAGAGAGGGAGAGAGTAAAGAAGAGGGAGAGAGGGAGAGAAGAGACAGAGACAGGCAGAGAAGCAGAGAGGGAGAGAGGGAGAGAAAGATGAGAGGTGGGAACATAGTGAATGTGCACAAGAGGTGCTCTTAATGACTTCACTTGAGGATGTATTCTGTCAGAACCCCAAGGGTAGGCCAGTACACTTGTCTATGTGAAAAAGTCTTAGAGTTAAACAGACTAACCAATATTTCAAATACTGAGGCTAAAAACATTTGTTTCTCTTTTCAGAGGTCTCTTGCTGAACTTCAGGTCCTATAGCTTAAACCTTCTCCATCCTTCTGATGGGAGTTACATGTCCAAGCGTTTTGTTTAGAAATAATAATAAAATATATTTTAGAAATTTACATGCATAATTGCGATTATAACTCAATTCAAAAGACTTATATATAGGAGTCTTATATCTGTCACAAGGAAATAGTTTAATTTCTATTTTTGGTCATAGTTTTGTTGGGAAAAAATTCAGTATGGTAATCAATAGCAGACTTTTAAATAAAAATATTTCATGGGAGGACAAAATTCTTTGAGGAGCATGTAATATACAATGTCAAAGAGAAATCATATGGTAGAACAATGTAAAACTTTTCAGGGTTATGTGAGTATTTGTATTTTGTTTTGCTTTGAATGTTTGAAGCTCAGTGTCAAATATCTTAAGAGTTGGCTATTATAGCTGGTACACGTCTAATAATAGCATTCAGGAGACAAAGGCTGGAACATTTGGAATTTAAGGCAAACCTAGGCTAAATGAAATGTGTTTTAGGACAGCTTTGGAGGCTAAATCCTGTCTCAAACAAACAAGCAAACAGATTAAAACATAAAATGAAACATTTACTTAAAAAAACAATCCACCATAACAAAATAAAACCAAAAATGCTTATTGAATGAATGAATGACTGCCAAATGGAAAAGTGATGGTGTGAAAAATCATCCCTGTCAGATGGATACTATTTTACTACCTGCGTTTTTCCACAAACAGCACATTTCAAGTCTACTTTGGGTATTTTCTCATAAAAGATTATTTTTCCCTTTTCTATCTTTGCTTTGTTTTGGTTTGCAGTACTGGAGTTTGATACAGCATGGTGGCACATACATAGCACTAGGGACACAACGGCAGAAAGATTGTTATGAGTGTCAGGCCATCTGGGCTATAGAGTGAGATTCAGTCTTTTGAAAGTCCAACAAAACAAAACGCAATACCTAATAAATAAACAAGGCTCCTGGTCATTTGAGGTGAGTGATTTACAAACCAAGAGAGTCAGGGTCATTGTAATGTGGGATGAGAAAAGACATGGTATATCATTGCTGGCTTTCAGGATTGACAGTTTGAAGGCAGCTTTTAGAAGCTGCAGAGTGCAAAGAAATGGATTCTAACCTAGAATCCAGAAGAACATATCTATTCTGACACCTTGACTTTAGCTTAGTGATGCTCATTTCCAACTCTCACACCCACAACTATAAAATAATACATTTATGTTAATTTAAGTCACCAAGGTGGTGGTAATTTGTTACAGAAGAAACCAGATATTAATATAGTTAGGTTAGCTATTATTACTGTATTTTCAACTTTTTTGCTCTGGCTTTTGATAAAATTTAATGTAAATACTGCTGCAAAATCAAATCTTTCTGCCAAGTGCACATTAATTTTCAGTTTTTCTAATTGCAGCTATTCTTAGAGCGCTGCTGTCTTTAAAAGGAGCCCAGGTTTCCCTCGAATAGAATATGGACATAAGGCCTTCTGGAAAACTGCAAGATAATTTATAATATCTTCTTTTTAAGTTTTCCATTATGAGCCCATGCATTGACATGTCACAGAATCCATTAAAGAAGTTCAAATCTAGTTATGGCCTCGGTTTCTTTTAAGCTTTTTATTGATTCCTGGTGGATTTCACATCATGTATCCCTATCCCACTCAACTCCCTGTCCCCTTGCGTCTTTTGTCTGTCCTTGCAACACCCCCCAAAACCCAAAATTTAAAAATCAAATCAAAGCAAAACTTCCAAGAAACCAAAAAAAAAAAAAAAAAAAAAAACAAAAAACAACAACAACAACAAAAAAAAAACAAAACAAAAAAACAAAAAAACAAAAAAACAAACCACCACCACCAACCAAGCAACAAACAAAATCTCTGCATGGAAGATGTAGTGAGTCATACAGTACACCCTTTAGTTCAAACATCTTTACTTGGAAGTATTGACCTCTGTTTCTTCAGCAGGGGGTTCTGGGCCTAACAGAGATCATATAGGCACCAATGACAATTAGTGTCTGTTCTGTACTAGGAGACACAGGAAAAGGAGGAAGAGTTGGATTAGAGGAAGGGTGAAAGAGGAAGGAAAAGGAAGGACAGTCCAGCCAAATACCAGTGAGAGAATGCCTCCCATTATCCATCCTTTTCAGCTTTTGCTGAAGTTATGGAAACTGCAGGCACCCTCAGGGGCCAGGGCGGTACACCTGCACCTCTATGCCTGGGGCCGGCTTAGGGAAGTAGATCTGGGAGAGTGGCCACCCTGGAGGGGTGGTGGGAGACCGCAGGGTGGAGTCATGGGATGTACAAACAGAAAGACTACATCTCCCAGGCCGCCACGCTTTCCAGATGGAGTCCTAGGGCGCTTACTGCTCCCCAGTTTCCGCAGGGAAGCGCCAGGCTACCACAGCTATTGTGCGTAGCGCTGTCGCCCTCCTCTTCCCGGTGGCGCTGCCCAGTTGTTGGAGGAGAGCTACGCCTTGCCGTTGGGTTTAACCCTTTAAGCGCCAAGCCCGACAGCCCGCCGGCCCCCCGGAACGAGTAGGCGGTCTCTGCAGCTGCCGAGTTGTGGGCGACGAGTCCCGAAGACCCGAGGAAGACAGCCGAAGGGAGCTGGTGTTCTCGGTCGGTCTCGGGGTTGGGACTCGGCCAGAGTGAAGCTGTGCCATTGGCTTTAAGAAGGGGGAGGGGAGACGCGGACCGCCGCTCGGGGATCCGGGGAAGGAAGCCTCAGCTGGCTTGGGAGCGCAGAGAGGCGGCCCCCGCGCCGGCGCTCTCCCCGCCTCCACCCTGGGCCGCCCAGGACTCAGCACTGCGCTTCGGGGAGGCGATGACCAGGGGGCGTGCTGTTCGCTAGGCTGCACCCTGCCGGCGTCAGAAGGCGTTGGTAAGCATTCCCGGTCACTCGCAGCCACCACTGGACTACGCGCTCCTGCTACACACCAGCGGGCGCTCCCCAGAGTTTCATTGGAACAGGTACCTGTCGTCCAAAGGGAGTGGGGTTGAGTAGCCTAAAAGTGGATCCTGAACGCAAGCCACTAGGTCTATTCTGCTGATTGTGCCACTGATGCTCTCTCTCTTTGTCTCTAACCCCTAGTCCCTCCGCTATCGTAACCATGGGGCATCCCCCGCTGGAGTTCAGCGACTGCTACCTCGACAGCCCCGATTTCCGCGAGAGGCTCAAGTGTTATGAACAGGAGCTGGAGAGGACCAATAAATTCATCAAAGACGTGATCAAAGACGGCAGCGCGCTTATCAGCGCTATGAGAAGTAAGTGGAAAGCTTCCATGAGCCGTTTCTCTGAGTAGGTGGTTTTGGCCTTTAAACCTTTCCATACCACAGGGGGAAGGGAGGATCTGCAGTGACTCTCATCATCCCAGGTCTCTGAGTCTGATGGGTTTCTGAACCTTTGAGAGTGGGGTCAGTAGAATTGGAAAGTGATGAAGACAAGCAGAACTTTGGGCCTTTTCCTTTAGTGGCCCTGACCTTCTAAGACTTAATATGTAGGTGGGGAACAGACCCTCTTGCTTCTCAGTTACCCTTATTGAGCAGATCCTTATTGAAAATAATAGTCTGCCCTACCGGTCAGACATACCCAGCACCCCTGTCTGGTACAAGGTGACTTCCATGCTGACCAAGGAACTACCCCAGTACCTCCTAAGGAATTTGGAATTAAGGCTAAAAGCTCCAGTATAAAGATTTCTGTCCTAGCCTCTGGTTATTACAGAAAATTGTGGGTCCGTAAAAAGTTATTCTTCCCAAATAATTTTCTAAGGAGAGCATCTTTGGCCTCTGCTGAGATATTTTTCTTTTATATACTGTTAATGTCATACATAGTCCATCCAAGTTTATGATTATTTTTTGGTTGCACATACTACTGGAATTCTGCTTCAGTGTGGAACAAAGACTGTCAAATTCATGGTCCAAGGGGCCCAGATGCCCTGGGTGTAAAATACAGGGGTAGGGTGCACTGCATTGAACAGACCTTCCCTAGCTTAGTTTTTCAGTGGTTTTCATCACTTCTGGGACTGTTTTTTCCTCCTGAGTGTAGGTTTTTATTTCTGCTGGTTGTCAAAAGGATCAGAGAAAAAGAAAGAATAATAACATCCACAACAAGAGTATAAGTAAGCCAAGCTCCCCCCCCCCCCCGTGTATCAAGAAGAATGGAGGAAAATTATTAAGTATAGTGATGATGGATTATTTTTTTTCCTCTCCTTGGCTGAAAGATAACTATGAAAGGTAAAGTCATTCTCTATGCCTTTAACTTTGTTTTGAGTGGATATGCCCTACCTCATCCCATGTCAAGGTTGTATGAATCTTTGTTTCAGGCTGTTACAGCCAAGGAAGAGGGGAGAGAGTCTTCTTAAAAGCTTTGGTGCCACAAAAACTGCTGCAAGCCTGTATTTCCCGAGTAGCAGCTCTAGTTTGTGGTTGGCTGGCCACTCTGGGTCAGAATCTGTGCATCTGTAAACTGTTCCAGTGCCTTGGAGTTTTTTAATTGAGTTTCATCAATACTAAACTTGTGTTAGCACCTTAAAGATGGAATACTTGAAATGCTGATCTTTGCAGACTTGTAGGCCAGGCTTTTGGGTGTGTCTCCTCTTAATAGAGTTCAGTTAGAGGTTGAGGATATGGAGATTGTGCCGCAGAAATAAAAACTTGAGGACTCTGTGAAAGGAAAAGGACTGTTTGTATTGCAGATTTCTTCTGACTACAAACTTCTTGGTATACTATTCACCATCAAAGAAAGCCCATTATAAAAGTGCTAGTTAGGAGGTAGTTTTGGAATGTGTATGGCAAGCTGAAATTTTGCTAAAAATGATCAGCTAAGTCATATCTGAGTGATTAAGCTGCCTAAGGAAAAAACTCAGTTCAATGAAACATTTTGGGTAAGGGTAAAATGTTTTTCAACTCCCAGTTCTGGGGACTGGGAGTTGAATTCAGGTCTTTGCATATAGTAGCTACATATATAGGTCCTGGTTTTTGGGGGAATAGGGTCTTAATATGTAGATTGGGGTGGACTTGAACTTCTGATCTTTCTGCCTTAGCATCCCAAGTGCTGGTTTATAAGCATGCTATTTTTTGTTTATTTTGTTTTGTTTTTTAATTAAGAGGCAAGTAGTAAGTTTTCTTCTTTCCATGATTTCTGAGACTAAGTGTGGGAAGATGATAGCAATCATGCATACTCAAATGTTTGCACATGGGCTGCAGATTCAAAAGCTGTCATAGGATAGGGGACTCTTTAATAGCTATGCTGATCTTTTATTTCAGAGTCAATGTTGCTCAAAATAGGATGGGGAGGTATTAAAATCCCCACCACTAACCCCAGCCTTATTGCTTTTCTTTAAGCTCTACAGGTTTTAAATACTTGAGTAGCTAAAGGGAAAGATGAAATTGTGTCCTTTATCACAATAGGTTTTGTTCCCCATCCTGTGTTTGTTCACAGTTCACAGTTCACAGTTCACAGTTCAGCCCCCTTTCTTCAGGGTAGGTAGGGTGTAAAACAGATGTACAACAGAGGTATGATCTTCCTAAGTGAAGGAAAGAGGAAAATCCCCTTCTGGGATTGGATTTTGAAGACCTGGTTTACAGTCATGGCTTCCCATTTTGGGATTTGGCACAAACCATTTCAACTGTGACATGTAATTCAAAAATTAAGAAGAAAAAAATCTCTAAGGAGAGAGAAATGTTAAACTATCCCAAATTTAGTAAACACTGGATGACTTTATGGTAATGTACAACAATAAATTTGTACAATATGAAATTGGTGGTCGGCTGGGTATGTAGCTAAATGATAGAATGTTTGCCTACCATGTGCAATGTGCTGTATTCTATCCATAGTACTGGAATTTTAAAAAATCCATTGCCACAAAAAAGCCATTGCCATAATAATGGTGGTAATTATATCCACCTCACAACATAGTTGTGAGGCTTAAGGGAATTAATTTTCAAAGGGTTTTGTGAAATAGAATTGGCTAAAACAAGTACATTGTTGATAGTCTATCTTTTTTTTCACTAATACATCTGTTGATGAATGTATAATTTTCAGTAGAGGTCAGAAAGGAAATACATAAATAGAAGTAGTTGGAAACAGCCTTTTTTCCTTGTTATCTTGTTGGAAAAGTTCACTCATCTGGGCACAACTGTGAAACTTGATGTCAGTACTTTGTCCCACTGTGTGATTTTTGCCTAGAACTCTGGATAAGGGTTTAAGCAATAAACTCCTGTGATTAGTGATTATTATGATTATTAGTGTTTTAAATGTGGCCCTATTTGAATACAGTGTTGGTTAGGTTTTGTTTTTGTTGTTCTTGTTTATTTTTATTTTTTTTTTATTTTTCAATTTGACACAGCTAGAGTTTTGGAAGAGGGAAACCCAATTGAGGAATTACCTCCATCGGATTGTCCGTAGGCAAGTCAGTGCAGGTATTTTCTTGATTGTTACATAGGAGGCTCCAGCCCAATGTGGGCAGTGCTACCTCTGGGTACTTGGTACTGACTGGATGGCATAAACAAGCAAGCCAGAAAGCAGTGTGCTTTCCATTATCCTCTGCTTCAGTTCCTGCCTCCAGGTTCCTGCCCTCAGTGATGGATTGTGACCTGGGAATTATAAGAAGCAATAAACTGTTTCCTCCCCAAGTTGCTCTGGTCATGTTTCTTTTTTTTTTTTTATTTGTTTTTGTTTTTTATCATAGCAACAGAAAGCAAACTAGGACAAATACTTAGATATATTTAATTAGGTGCTCAAATACCCTCCTTTGATGGGTGTTTGATCCCCCCAAATGTGATGTGTTTATAATTTTTGGTGCATATAACAACTATAACAAACTAATAGAAAATAAACCATCATTACTTTGAACTGTCATGACGCTGAAAGATGAAGGCTGTATTACCTGCTATTCTGTGATTCTTTGCTCTCTCTCTCTCTCTCTCTCTCTCTCTCTCTCTCTCTCTCTCTCTCTCTCTCTCCATGCATGTGTGGTTGCATTTGTCCTGGGGATAGAACACAGGACAAGCCCTCTCCTACTAACCTGTGTCCCGATGTCTCTCCTTTTTTATGTTGACAGTATTAGTCCTTTTGATTTTACTGAAAATTGTCTGAATACTGAAGATAGGCATTGTTCAGTATAAATGTTATAGCCCATTGCTTATATGGCCTCAGAAACCTGAGACACTTAATGTAGACTATATATAGTTCATGGGCCAAATACCATTCATTCAATAAATACCTGTGTACATACTATGTTGTAATCTTTGTTCAGATGACTGTTAGATACACAGAGTGATTCACAGGTGGATATTGACCCCAAGAAGTTCCAAGACTAGTAGGGGAGATATGTAGAGGTGAAATTACTGTTGTATAAGGCATTAAAGTTCAGAACTTTGGAGTTGGATGGTGGAAATTATTATATGCGACATTAGAGAGAGGGAGAGAGTTCATTTCTTGGTGGAAGATAGAAAAATCAAAGGAGGAAACAGCATTGAAGCTTGCCAGAATTAACAGAACTTTGACTTATTAAGCTGTTTCCGTATACCAGTGATTCCTTGATAAGAAAAAAAAAATAAATGTTATATTTTATGGGCAGCCTATGCCAAAAGAAATGGCTTTGTGGGTGTGTAGTTTTAGCTGTATTTTTGGAAGAGTCACTGAGAGATTATCAAGAGTAATGAGTTAGCATTCTTACACAAATGTTTGTGACTTTTCTTTTAGACAAGGTCTCATGGAACTCAGGCTTACTTTGAATTCACTATGTATCCCAGGCTTGCCTTAACTTCATTATCTTTCTTTGTCATTGTCATGAGGGTTATGATTAGAGGAGTGTGTCACCAAACGACTATATTTGTGACATTTAACATGTTTTTCCTTTTTAAGACAAGATCTTGTTCTGTAGCCCAGGCTTGCCTGGAACATACTAAGTAGCCTAGGCTAATTTCAAACTTTATTATCTTCCTGCTTCAATTTCCTGAATGCTTGGTATACAGGAATGGGCAACCACACCCAAATTTAGAGTGTAATAGTTGAGATGATCTCTCTATATAGTTCAGGCAGCCATTAGGCTCAAAATTCTCCCAGCTCAGCTTCCTGAGTACTAGGATTATAGGCCTGGATTAACTGTCCCTGTCTATATTTTTTTAAATATAGCTCAGGATCAATATATCTTGTCTGTAAAGTATCATGTTATATATATTTTAGGCTTCAAGGCCATGCATTCACCCCCCAATTAACCTTTGTTGTGTAAAAACATCCATAGAGAAACAATATTCTAGGA